GTTAAACAATTTTAGGGAATTGGTTAACATTGTTCTTTCAGCAATTATTCTGTTGTGTTACTCTAATTTGTGTTCATTATTTGTTAACTTGTGTTAAACCATTCAGTAGAAGTAACCATAAGTGAGAGTGGTAGGCCTAGTCATTAATAAGACCTGTGAGATTCCCTTTGTCTGTTTTGTTCATGAAGAAGAATCCAATAAAGGTTCTTCAAAACTGCCACCTGATGGTGAAGTCTCAAACTACAACAAGAGCTACACTTTCTCTGTAGCTGTGAGGTGCCATGCTACAATATTGTGCACTGGTATGAGTTGAAAATATAGAAGGAATTGAGTGTATTTCCAGCATTGTATGAGTTGAAAATATTGAAAAATTTAAGTGAAGTACTCCCTAATCATAAATTGAGAAAAATCCATATTTATAAGATAACACTGAGATAATTCAAGGCAACTGCACATGTAATTTTTATTTTATGTAAACTGAAAACGTTTGAAAACATCACTAAAATATTTTTGTGTAATTTGTTACAAAATTAATTTTGAGTTCTGTGAACTTGTTCGGGTTTACAGTGCAGGATGGCAGAACCTGTATCYAATGGTTGGCAAGGCTGGATTATCCAATAGACATTTTGAGCACAGACGCAAGGGTCACGCCCAGCAGGGGCCCACATGAGCAGTTTAAGGAAAAAAAATTGTCCTCAACTTTGTCCCCAGTACTTAATCCATCTCTGTTGTTGCAGTAGCTCGATACAGAGAGTCAGAGGCAGGTCAGCAGGTAGGGACAGAGTTCTKTGGTGGAGGTGAGGGAAGAAGATACTGAATGAAATCTAAGATGTTTACTCAAATCAATATTTATTTTAAGTCCTTTCTAGTTGTGCGAACTTCATGAAATACATATATTACTGATTTAAAAGCATAATCYACAGCATGCTTGAATTGAAGTTTATTGTATTTTGGCCAGGCTTATTTAATTTTAAGTTTCATTTCAAGGAAGTAAAAGAACTTGTGGCATCAAGATCAGAAGGAAGCTGTGGAGCTATTTTGATGTAATAATTACATTGCAGGTTGACAAAACTGACAAGTTATTTTTGTCACCATTGTATGTTATGAAGGCTGCATGATGCCATGGCACTTTTGGTTATGAGTAGACTTARCACTACTTCAGGAGAAAGTAAAACACCCCCCTAAATTCACTGTTGGTGGTCATCAAAATCGCACCTGTTCATTGGGTATTTATTAATATTCTTAGTTTTAAACATGCTATTGAGTGTCGCTTGGCACTTTGACATGTTGTGTTACAAATAAAACCCCTATAGTGRTTGTCTGTGATTAATTTATTAATTGTATTATTTTAACCATAGCATTGAGTTTAAAAATAGGAGGAGAGAAACAGAAGTCCTGAGAAGTGAGTCCTGTGTGTGCACCTTTTCAACATGAAAATAGAGGAAAGACGAGCTGGGGCAAAGTTTGACTTTACTGATAGCTACTGTATGGTTTACTGATGTGTTATTTAATAATTGTTTTTTAAGTTATATATGAGCGTGACATTGAGTATTTTTGCCTAGGAAAATCTCAGAAAATGCAGCAACACAGGATGTGAGATGTGTCTGTTTGGCCAAAGAAGGAAACAAGTAACAAGAAAGGTGGTGATGACTGTAATACATAAAGATGATATTTTTATATTTACTTTTTTATCATTTCAAGCTACAGATGGGACTGGTTTTGTTCTACCAGTTACAGTTGAAATAATAATGCTTTGTTCTTTTGTGCAGTCCTATAAAGCTCCTGCAAAACAAATRGAACTGATCGCACCTTTCAGATAGCTGTGAGAAGAGATAATTATCTGACAACTGTAACAGGAAAAAGTAAAAACACATTTACTCAGAGGACAAGAAAAGTGTTGAATCAATCGTCTACCCTTTTTCTGGGAAAAGTATCCTGTGTGTTTCTGAATTGGGATTCTGTGGGTTTGGGTTTGTGTGTTTGTGTGCCAACCTCTGATCATCTGCCGACACTAACGATCCCAGATTAACATTAAAGWGGGATTTTACTGTAAAATCTGACAAATCACACACCCGGATTATGAGCTCAACCAACATTTGGTGCGGTGTGTTTTCCAAGCCAGCAGATCTCTGTGACCTGGTGATGATCTGAGTTGATAGTAACTTCCCTGAGCTTTCACCGTCTCTTACAAAGCAGTGAWAGGGCACTGGGGACAAGGCAGAACAGTGAGATCCAAATCAGCAGGGTATCAAAACTAACCACATTTTCTGTCAGTGTGTGTGTTAGCTTAGCCTCTTRATTAGAATACTTTTAATTAGTTGACTATATTGTTGGTGTAGTTTCTCTGTCAKCCAGGACATGACATCCRAAGTGGTTCAGTAGAAGGCAACTGGACTTCTTTGATACTTAAAGATTTTTTTTTTTATCTCGTACCCAAATGGATTRGTTACGGTCGCTCTGAAAGCAGGTTGGGAGTTCCAATCTTGTAGATGTAACAATCAAAATAATAAGGCTGTTTGATCATGAGAGTTGCTGACCCATCCTCCATCCTGTCAGTTGTCTGATTCTCCCCATCTTGACCATCATGTGAGCTGTTTTGGTCTCGTTTTACGACGTGAATGGTTGTGAAACCATCAAGAGAAAGTAGTCACGTCTGCACTACAACTAAATGTAAACTCCATCAGACAAGCTRCTAGGGTTGGGCGTATCAGTCTAAACATCAATACTATCCATATCAAGATGAGACTCTTTTTGTAGCAGTTTATCCCCTGTACGTCAAGCAAATCACTCAAATTTCYGCTGTCTCTTAGTCACTTTATTTGCACAATTGACTTTATTTTTCACAAATATCTACATGCAATTTAAGGTTGTTTTATATTTTAGTTTGTGCTTCATTGATATTTTCTATTATATGTATTATTGTCACATTGTTGCTTTTTTGTACTTGTGATATTTTTTTCTTGAACAAATGTGTTTAGTAGAAGGTAATAGGCAAACTATTTTATTATTTTTGTACTGTCAAATTGTTTTGTATTGCTGTAGTTAATAAGAAAATATTTACCTAAAATCATTGTCCTGTGTTTATTCATAATCAACTAAATGAAGGCAAAATTATTCAATGMTCAYGATRTTTCAAGTAAAAAGTATCGGTTTTGGCAAGTCCTGTGTTTACTTCGTATCAATTCAGAATCAACATTTCTAGTGTTGTCCATCCCTACAAGCTACTGGCAAAACTTTTCTTCAAGTAAAATTGATAAATATAAACAAATAAAACTTATAAAGATAGTCACAGAACTTGTCAAAGGCGATATCGCAATTTTTGTGCATGAAGGAGACAGCGTGGAGACACAGGCGGCTCTCTGTGAATAGGGAGGCAGTACGCCTCAGCCGGGTAGCGTAGAGACATGTTCCCTCAACGTCTGTTGGAAATGGCGCCTGTTTGTTACTGACAAATTTGTTAACAACAGAAACACCAGATTTTCTTTCTCCATTCAAATGAAAATAAACATCCACTTTGGCAACTATTCTTGTGTTGTTTCTGTTTATGTGTGATGTGTTCTGCAGTGGGAGGGCTCGTCAGGAGCTCTCACTTCAGATTCTCTTTGAGTATAAACAAAACCTCTCACCACTACATCAGCAAGATCAGTTGTCTTAAGTCTCGTTAAGCCTAGCAGGGTCTCTTTTAACAGTTTCACAACCAGATACTGAGCTAAAATTAGGTGTGTTATCTTCAACACATAATCAGAGACTAACAGAAAGTCTTTGTTTAAAATGTTGGCGTGCAAGGCAGCAGGGAATAYGCATTTCCTTTTAGAACACTAATATTTGTTTATAACTTTACCTAAATTTTAATTTATTCATAAAACATTTATAAATCCTTATCAAGTACAGTCTTATTTAAGGTGGAACTTTCCTTTGCTTTATGAAGAGCAGAGGTTATTGATCTGCTTTCTCAACTGTTTGACATCTTATTGCACCAGAATCATCCCTAACAAAATTAATCATCATGGGATCATAGTCTGAGGTGATGTTTAGAGTTTAATGCAGTTCTCATTTACAAAACATCCCAACATGAATGGAGGATTTAAGAATGCAACTTTTAAAAAGCAGTCAGCAGTCTTCTTCCTGAAGCTTTCCCATCCACGAGACAAAAGTGACAGGAGGACACAGCAGGAGTGAAAGTTAATGTGATGGTTGCCAGGTGACGATCATCTTAGCACCAAGCTAGGGTCTCTAAATTCACAACACTGTTTAGTTAAACCAACATCTGTCTGACGATAATCTGAAATTATATTTAGGTAAAATTAAAACACTTACCCCAAAAATCTTTTTCTGTGTGTAAAATGGGACTAAACCTCAGAGCTTTCTGCTGTTGCTTCTTGCTCCATTATTGTGGGTAAGAAATGAGAATCTTCTCTCTCTCTCTCTCTCTCTCTCTCTCTCTCTCTCTCTCTCTCTCTCTCTCTCTCTCTCTCTCTCTCT